ACATGACAAAACAGGAAAATAAGTGTTAGAGATGTGGGAAAATTGGAACATTAATACATTGTTGGTGGAGTTGTGAACTGATCCAACCATTTTGGAGAGCAATTTGGAACTATGCCCAAAGGGCTATAAAATTATGCATATCCTTTGACCCAGTAATAGTACTTCTAGGGCTATATCCCAAAGAGGTCATAAAAGTGGGAAAAGGACCCACATGTACAGAAATATTTATAACAGTTCTTTCTGTGGCCAAGAATTGGAAATTGAGGGGATGCCCATCAATTGGGGAATGGCTGAACAAGCTGTGGTATATGAATGTAATGGAATATACTATTGTGCTATAAGAAATGATGAGCAGGTGGACTTCAGAAAAACCTGGAAAGACTTGTATGGTCTAATGCTGAATGAAATGAGCAGAACCAGGAGAATGTTGTACACAGTAACAGCCATGTTGTTCGATGACTAACTTTGATAGACTTAGCCTCTCTCAGCAATGCAAGGATCTAAGACATCTCCAAAAGTCTCATGATGGAAAATGCTATCCACATCCAGAGAAAGAACTATGGAGTTTAAATGCTGATGGAAGCATACTATTTGCTCTTTTTATCCCTTCTGTTTTGTTTTGTTTCTTCTTTCTTGTAGTTCCTCCTATTGGTTCTAATTCTTCTTTACAACATGACTAATGTGAAAATATGTTTAATAGGAATGTATGTATAGATCCTATGTCAGATTGCACAGTCTCTTGGGGAGGTAGTTGGAGAGGGGGGGAAGAAAATTTAAAACTCAAAAACTTATGGAAGTGAATTCTGAAAACTAAAAGTAAATTAATTAATAAAAAATACATTTCATTCAATAGGGGAAAAGGGAGGGAGAGAATTAGAAGGAAGGTACAATAAGGGAGGGGTTATTCCTAAACAAAACAAATTCAGACTAAGAATGTACAAAAATAGTTATAACAGTTCTTTCTGTGGTGGCAAAGATTTGGAAACTAAAGGGGTGTCCATTAATTGAGGAATGGTTGAACAAGTTATTGTGTACGAATATGATGAAATGCTATTATGTTATAAGAAATGATGAAAGGGATGGTTCCAGAGAAACCTGGGAAGATTTGTATGAACATGTGCAGAATAAAGTAAGCAGAGCCAGAAAAATTATGCAATGACAATAATAGTGTTAAATACAAACAACTTTGAAAGAGTCTCATGATGGAAAATGCTATCCACATCTAGAGAAAGAACAATGGAGTTTGAATGCAGATCAAAACATACTATTTGCTCTTTTTTTTCTTCTGTTTTGTTTTGTTTCTTCTTTCTTGTAGTTTCTCCTATTAGTTCTAATTCTTCTTTACAACATGACTAATGTGAAAATATGTTTAATAGGAATGTATACATAAACCCTATATCAGACTGCTCGCCATTGTGGAAAGGGAAACGGGGAAGGAGGGGGAAAAATTTAAAACTCAAAAGCTTTTGGAAGTGAATGTTGAAAAGTAAAAATAAACTAACAAAAAAATATACAGAACCAAAGGAAACAAGAATGAACAGAACAGTTTTGAAAGTGGTATATTGAAGTTATTACGTGCTTAAAGAGCAAGCTATCCTAGAAAGAGATTTGAGTTTGGTATAAAATCCTCTTTCTCCGTTCTGGTTTTTATGAGGAAATCATTTTATTTGGTTTCGTTAAATTCAGAAATTTTTTTAAAAAATTGTGTATGTGGCTGCTTTGTTTTGTTTTAAAAGTCAGTTTGTTGAAGCCAAAAAAACATCGAACTGGGCTGAGGGAAATGAGGGCCTGAAGGCTCTCCTTCACCAAGATACAATCACAGAGAGAACTTTGTCCCATGGTCTTCCGGTTATTGATATAATACAGTTATCCCTTCCACATCGTGACTTACCCCATCACAGTTTTGCTATGTTGCAGGTCGGCAAAAGAAATTAAATGGGAATTTGGAGGGAGTTTTGAGGAAGCCTCAGACTACACGCAAACGCCAACAGACAACATAGGAAAAGTTTAGAAACTCAGAAATGCATAAAATATATGGCTATATTGTATACTATCAACCTATTTTATCTTTTGATACTGTAGTAATTCAGACTTCTCTGGTATAAAAGGAGGGCCAAAAAATTTTACACAAATTTTGCATATCACAAGGGTGCCACATCCCTAACCCTGGCACTGTGGGGTAACTGTGATAGCTAACATTTATATGGCACTTACTATGTTCCAGACAGTATGCTAAGCACTTTACATTTGATCACATCTCATTTAATCCTCACAACCATCCTGGGAGATAGGTACTATTATTATCCCTATTTTACAGATGAGGAAACTAAGGCAAAGTGATTGCTCATAGCTTGTCTGAGGCTGGATTTGAACTCAAGTCTTCCTGACTCCAAGCCTAGTACCCTACCCATCGCACCACTTAGCTTCCCCTATTAAGGGGAATGTGCCCACCCAGGATGCTTGCCACTGTTAAAATATCCTATACCAAATCAAAATGGAAGAGGGATCTTCTGCGGATAGGGAGACTGTCTAACTGTTTCAGTATGAAGATTACATGCCACCAATGGCATCAGGTCATCTCAATGGACTCCACAGCCACTCTAAAGAGGTTAGCCGAGCGATCTACAAAGGACAAGCATGTCACCCAGATTGCTCCATTGAGTGACATGGTCTGTCCGTTCTTGATGAAACGAATCATTAAGGAGTCCCAGGACTGAATGAGAACAGGGTCCTAGGGTCACAGAGATGGATCTAGAAGGAGACCTCAGAAGTCAGGGAGTACAACACCCTTATTTTTAAAATGAAGAACTGAAGCCCAGAGATGGTAAGTAATTTGTCCAAAGTCACAGACCACATCATGTCAGGGAAATGGAACTCAGTTCTTTCAGGGTTACCACTCACCACTAACATTCATTATTGACATTAATATTTTCCTCTGATCTCATATGGCTCCAAATTGTGGGACACCTCCAGCTCAGAACAGTCAAAATTGTCAAGCATTGACGTAGAAGCGACATCAGAACCCCTCCCATCTAGCTCCATCTTACAGAGGAAGAAAACGAAGCCTCGGTAGGTTAAGTTCATTCAGGTAGGAGATGTGCAAGGCAGGATTTGAACACAGGTCTTCTGACTCCAAGCATCACTACTATTTATACTTCATCATGCAGCCATCAATAATCCAGTCTCAATGGTGCCTGTGAGCTGGTTGTGCCACAAGATGGAATAGGTGAGAGGTATAAAATGCAACCCTAAAGAGGTAGGATGGTCTTATAATGAATGAGGTCAAGGTATGATAATAAGACTGTCATGTTCCATTATTGCACCAGCATCCACAGAATGCTGAGAGATACAGAGGAAGGCCTGCAGCATTGGATAGAACATACAACACCTAGGAAGGATTTATAGAAGGACGTTGACAAGAATTGCCAGAGATGAGATTGCCTGGACTGTTGCCAGCTGCACCAGTAGGGAGAATGTGAACACCAATGAGATCACACATTTATTGAAGTGTGTTCTAAAGGCCCACCCAGCTCTGACATCCTGTGTTCTAAGCACACTCCCAGCTCTGACATCCTGTGTCCTAAGGGCCCTCCCAGCTCTGACATCCTGTGTTCTAAGGACACTCCCAGCTCTGACATCTGTGTCCTAAGGGCCCTCCCAGCTCTGACATCCTGTGTCCTAAGGGCCCTCCCAGCTCTGACATCCTGTGTCCTAAGGGCCCTCCCAGCGCCCAGCTCTGACATCCTGTGTTCTAAGGACATTCCTAGCTCTGACCTGTGTCCTAAAGGCTCTCCCAGCTCTGACATCCTGTGTCCTAAGGGCCTTCCCAGCTCTGATATTCTAGGTTCTAAGGTCTCTCCCAGCTCTGATAGTGCCTGTTCTAAGGATCCTCCTAGCTTCAACATTTCATGTTCATAATGCAGCCTTGAATTTGCTGTCCTGTCATCATCAGCCTGTGAGCTCCTCAGAAATATGCCATTTCCCTTTTCTACCTCCCCCGTTAGCACATCCTAGAACACTGGGGCGGGGAGGGGGGGGGCGGGAAATGTCTCATAAGGCAGCCTGTAGCTCGGCACCTCAAGCAGCCTTCCTCACTCCTACTGGAATTACAGTCACTCTGACCATGAGCTCAGTGAGAGCTCAGAGGTCTCCAACTCAAGCTCCTTCCAGGTCAGGGAGGATCTCTTCCAAAGATTCCCTGACAGGAACTGGCTCAGCCTCTTCTTGGACACTTCCAATGACAGACAGCTCTTAGTAATTCCTTCCTTATTTGGTGCCAAAATGTGCCTCTCTGTGTCTTCCCCCAGGGTTCCTATTTCATCCCCCTAGACAAGCCAGACCAGTTTCATCCTCCTTTCAATTACTCAAAGGCAGTTCTCATGACCTCCCTGAGCCTTCTTTTTTTTTTTTCCTTTAGGCAATTGGGGTTAAGTGACTTGCCCAGGGTCACACAGCTAATAAGTGTCAAGTGTTTGGTCTGAGGCCGTATTTGAACTCAGGTCCTCCTGACTTCAGGGTCGGTGCTCTATCCACTGCACCACCTAGCTGCCCCCCTGAGCCTTCTCTTCTCATCCCAATTTCCTTCAACATAGTCCCACATATCATCCCCTTATCAATGTCCTTCCTAAAAGATGGCCACACCCACACCTGGCCCAGGGACTTCCTGCTCACTGAGATTGCTGGGGATGCTTTAGCAATTACTGGGTGTAAGGAGAGATGCAGAAGAGAACATATGGTCCCATTTAAAGCAGCATTCCCAGGAATTGAACTGGGCAGTTTGCATGAGAAAGTTCCCAAGTTCTCCTTCCTCTGTCACTAATTATATACTCAAATCACAACTCTTAAAATTAGAGAAAATCTTGTTTTCCTTTTGCTCTAATATGGGGGGCGCAGTCTGTGACTGGACAGGGCAGGGGCAGGTGTCTGTAATGGAATAAAGGTAGGTAGAATCGGTGATGGGCAGGGAAGGACAATGCCCACAGCAGCAGGGCTGGCCCTCCTCAACAGGGGATCACCACCTCTCTGCCTGACCAGCGCTTCTGCAAGCCCAGAGGCAAACTGCTTTCTTGAAAGTTGCGGGCTGGCAGGACCAACGGGCCAACATATTTATATGGGTAGCTGTCCTTGTATTCGGTGGAAAATTCATGGTTGGGCTGAGGGGGCAGGATGTGGGCATATTTAACCTAAGGAGACACAGAAAGATTCCCTTTATGATGTCAAAGATTTCCCATCACCCCTTCACTCAGTCCCCATAATCAGACACAACCTTGGCAGTCCCCAGCCTCATCTATGGCCATTGTGAACTCTGTCCAGGGCAGTGCTGGGAATTGGGGTTGAACAGGTCCTAGGAAACAAATTTGTGAATGGAGAAGGGAAAAAGAGCACGATGGAGGTGATTTGAGGTCCCTCACTCAGCCTACCTCGGTAATAGATTTGAGTAAATTGCTAAAAGAGATCTCCCTAAATAGGGACTAAGGAACAGGAGTGTTTGGGGACAATGGGAAGAATAATCCTCTGTCCTTCCCTCCCTCTTCCCCAAGGCCCTGGGCCTGTTACCCTCTGCTTTATCTCCTCAGGCACTGGATTCTTCTTGACTGAATGAGGTCCCAACTGCCTCGAGGTTGTCTGGAAATCCATTTCTGTGGGCAAGAACGAAGGGTGAAGAGGGGGCTTGAAATCCTGGAGGTAGGGGACTGACCTAGGGGCCACAGGCAAGATGAGCCTAAGGCCTATATCTCCAAGCCTCAAGGTTAGAGTTGTCCATAAAAACCCAGCCAACCAGAAACTGAACGGGAAGCCCTAGCCTGAGCAGAAACACTGAGCCCCTCGGTCCAACTGGGCCCTTTGTCACAGGTGGCTGGAGAGTCAGGGCAAGGCAGGACACTCAATGACCCTGGCAGACAAACTCCCATAGGTTTTATAACCTCACCATTGGTGCCCAACTTGATATGACTTTCAAAAAGGCGATGACTCTTGATTATCCCTGATGAAGATGGTTCGGGGTATGAGAAATACTTCTGGTGTGTGGTGACCACGTCTTCCAACTTTGGATTTCTCTCCCCCAAGATCACATGACTTTTCAGTATATTGAGTGGTTCCCTGGTACTTTCTTCAGGCTTCATCTAGGAGGGAGCAGAATGGAAAATAAGCCTCAGGTATTGAGGAGAACATAAGCAGCCTGGCCTATTTGGAAGAATCTGACTTCAAATCTAGCCTCAGACATTTACTAGCTGTGTGACCCTGGACAAGTCACTTAACCCCAATTGCCTAAATCAAAAGAAAGAAAGAAAATAGTGTCTGAGAAGATCTAGAATTTTTAAAGCAGTGTGGTACAATAGAAAGAATGTGGCTTCTGAAATCAGAGGACCTGGATTCAAATCTCTCCTCTTGGGGCAGCTAGGGGGCGCAGTGAAGAGAGCACCAGCCTTGGAGTCAGGAGGACCTGAGTTCAAATTTGACCTCAGACACATAACACTTACTAGCTGTGTGGCCCTGGGCAAGTCACTTAACCCCAATTGCCTCACAAAAAAACCAAAACAAAATCAAATCTCTCCTCTCCTGGCTCACTAACTGAGTGACCTATGGCCAGGGGTATACTGGTAAATATTAAACAGCTAGTTCCATGGGGGGGGGGGGCTTCCAACACAATTGTAAATTTAATCTTCATTATTACCATTTTCTCCATTACTTTAAGTCTAGACCATGAACAAAATAACAAGCCCAGATTTGTAGCAGTTGTAGATTTCCAAAGTCTAAATGCTCATGTTGAAAACTCAACAATTAGGTTAGAGCTGGCTCCAGCACACCCTGCCCTGGACCCTCAGTTCCTTCGTCTGTAAAATGAAGAAGTGGTTACAGGGTTGGGGACCCTGCAGCCTCGAAGCCACATGTGGTCCCCTAGGTCCCCAAGTGCGGCCCTTTGACTGAATCCAAACTTCACAGAACAAATCCCCTTAATAAAAGGATTTGTCCTATAAAACTTAGACTCAGTCAAAAGTCCATATCCAAGGACCTAGAAGGCCACATGTGGCCTTGAGGCTAAAGGTTCCCCACCCCTGGAGATGGCCTCTGAGGTCCCTTTCAACTTTAGATTTTTATTTCTTTTTTTAAAATTAATTTATTTATTTTTAGTTTTACTTCCATAAGATTTTGAGTTTTAAATTTTCTCCCCTTGCCCCTCCCCAAGATGGTGTGTAATCTGATATAGCCTCTACATATACATTCATATTAAACATATTTTCACATCAGTCATGTTGTAAAGAAGAATTAGAACCAATGGGAGGAACCATGAGAAAGAAGAAACAAACAAACAAAAAAGAGAGCAAATAGTATGCTTCAATCTGCATTCGGACTCCCTAGCTCTTTCTCTGGATGTGGACAGCATTTTCCATCCTGAGTCTTTTGGAGTAGGTTTGTATTTCCATGACTACATGAAATGGACCTATAGAGACCTATTAAAAATATTTGCCTAAAGTTTGGTTAATTTGAGCAAAAAGTCCTCAAATTGAAAAAAAAGGAGAGGCTTGTTCCCAGGTTTTCAGTCAATAAACATTTATTAAGTCCCTACTATGTACCAGGCACTGTATTCAGTGGGAGGAACCAATACAAAAAAAAAAAAAAAAGACAGACAATTTCTACCTTAAGTAGCTTTAAATCTAATGGGTGAAGACAGCATGTAAAAGGAAGCTGAAATGGGGAAGGGGTAGGGGAAAAGAAGATATCTAACCTATGAGCATGATGAAGTCCAAAGAAGCAGAACCAGGTGGGAAATGAAGAGATATGAGAAGACACACTCCATCAATTTCTTTTCAGAGGTGAGGGAAGTGGGGAGGGGAGGTTTATTCCTGCCTGTAGAAGATTGCTTATAATGCCAGATTTGCTGAATTTGTTTTTCCTTGTGACTCTTTTTTATTTTTTTTAATCCTTTGTTATAAGGGATAGCTTTCTGGTTGGATGCAGGGGAAGGAGAGGGATACAAGGAGAAATCTACGTAACAGAAATGGAAGATAGCAAGAAGAATCTATGTTTTTTAAAAAAGAGGCTGAGATTAAAAACTACTCGTGTTCTGTCAATCCAAATATCTAAAAGTATAGCAAGAGAAAGAAAGAAAGAAGGAAAGAAAGGAAGGAAGAGAGAGAAAGAGAAAGGAAGAAGGAAGGAAGGAAGGAAGGAAGGAAGGAAGGAAGGAAGGAAGGAAGGA